CTGTATGCTAAGATTTACCAAAGTGGCTTCGTCTTACAACCTAGACTATACCGTACAGCTAGAATAAGTCACTGAAACTAACTTGAGAAAAGCGTCAATTCAAACACGAAATAGCTAACGGGCACTGGGGTTTGAGTTTAGCTACCTGGCTTTATGGAGCGACGTCGACGGCTACTCAATTACACTTTCCGATTTTCATTGCTGCCGCGTGGGCGTCGACCCGGTATGGGTTCCGCAGTCTTTGCTTCGCTTGTCAGATTTGATGTCTTCTTTGACGCTCCACAAAGGAATAGGCTCTCTTTCGTGTTCCCTTGCAAAATGTGGGAGAAAGAAAAACAGCCATGTTGTAGGGATCAACAAGATGCTCACCACAATGGATTTGAGGGGGCACGGCAAATGGGCTTTGGGTGTCCATTTCCAAGTCTGAAGATACAGAGTACCAAAAAAGAAAACCGCTTTCCACTGAAAGGAAAAGGAGAAGAAAAAAAGTGAACCAGACGCATGGATTCCTAAATTCATCAGCCCCATCGCCAATACAAAGCAAAACCACCGGAGAACCACGGTGTTCTTTAATGCTGATGGAGTATAGGTACAGTTACATTTCGTAATAACGGAGAAGGTGAGGCAATGAATGCATTCACAGTGTTAAACTAGCACTTCAAATGTTGTTTTCGTGGGCTTTTATGTGCATGAAAGGGAGAGGTAAAGTCAACATGGTTGATGAACTGCACTGCCCACGCGCCCCAATTGTGAGTTGAGCTGTGTTAGTTCTGTGGGTTGCTATGTTCAAAATATTCCGTATCATTGTTTGAAACGGCGGATGGCTCATTCGGTTGGCGACCCACTTGGTGCAGGTTTCTGCGGGCTGTTCGTGAAAATCATGAGCCCACGCAAGACGACGGCGGTAATATTCCAGGTTCAAGATGATTTTGCGACATCGATCATAATGTCATTTTAAACGTGCCATCTTGATCGCCCTCAACCATATGTAATGGCTTACTCGAGTCAGAGTCCGCCGAGCTGGTGTAATCAGCGTGGGCTGGGCGAACCAGATCCATTTTCTCGAGGTGTCTCGGCCCGTTCTTTTTTTTAACGGCTCCCTGGTATCAGAATCTCGACGGTCATTCATTTTATCAAGTTATATCTGACATGAATGTTTTATAGGTCGTGAAATGGAATTTCTCATAGACAAGTCGTGTACGTGGGAGTTTTGGACACCTCCAACGCCATCTCTTGGGAGGAACACTTCCCGTACACACAGACTACTGGCACCTATGGAACGTTTTCATTCAAGTCTGTGGGCACAAAGTACACCCGGGGAGCATTCACGTGAGGGAACTTTATGATTTCGCGCTGTGCCTATGACTATTAGATGTGCACAGTCGGCCCAGACCTATTGGCTAACTATTCCTAGCGGTTGTATCAAGCTTTTGAGCTTTCAGGAACATCAGGTTAATATTTCATACTGTCATGTTGTCCGTTGTTTTCTTTGTTTTACGGAAAATGAATACGAAATCCCTTATAATCACCCTGCTCAAATTAGATGTCGCATGGTAGAGTTATTTGCAGTCATCAAGTTGAAAGTGATTGATGAAAAAGGGTGGTCCGTTAGGATATTATGTTGTTCATTTTGTGTATTATCCACTCAATTCAGAGTTTGAGTCGCCGTGTTTCGCGCACAAAATAGGTGAAAGATTCGAGTCATCAGACCTGTGTAACTATTAAGAAGAGGGGCCAATTTCATAGAGTTGCTTTAGCAAAAAATTTGCTTAAGCGCAAAAAAAATTTGCTTAAAAACAAAAGTTTCCAGCTCAGAGTCTATGTGATTGTCATGCTAACCAAGCGACAGGTGAATATCATTCCAAAATAGCATACATCACATGGAGTTTTGGCTGGTAATGGTAAAGCAAATTTTGTGCTCAAGCAGCTCTATGAAATTGGCCATCGTTGTCATCGCAAGCGGCACACCAAACTAGAACTCGTATTGAAGTCGATGGCTTCTATTAATTAACAGACGTGTCCAGGAGGACAACAGCACCGACCGGGGGGGGACAACCAGTCTTTGAGAATCATCTAGTCTTTGAGGCCGGGCACGGGAAAATGGGCCGTTAGTGAACGAGCCCACGACCCCCACGCCACAGTCTATCAGCCTCGATGCTAACGGAGGAAAAAGTGACATTTCTGTCCCAGATAGCTGTGATTATTGACGGCGTCGTGGAAAAGACCCTTTGGCGGTGGTGAATTAGTGTCGAGCATTAAAACTAGACGAGGCCCCCAGAACCGTTTGCGTTTCAGTGACTCCTGGTGTTAAAAACAGTTCAGGCAAAGATGATTGCTCGGCATACGCTTAATAAATCAAGACTATTTTCTGTACTTTTGGAGGTATGGGTTTTTTCATTATTTTGGATGGTTCGATGGGTATGTCGGGTGGATGTTGCTAGCGAGTATAGGGCCAGGCTTCTGTTTGTCCATTTGAGAACTGTGTTACGTCGTGTATCACATTCGCTAATTTAACCCTTTGATTTCTGGGAATTGAAAGCAGGTTCATAACTCTGCGTCTTTATCGATTAATGCAGAGGTCGCCCGAGATCGACTTCTCATTTCGCGTCCATCTAAATTGAAACGACATGCAAGGTTATAATTGCTGGAATGTTGAGATGGGAAGTTGCAAGTGCACATTTTTAAAGTCGTCTGAATAATGGGAGCGCGTCACTAGAAAGAACATGTAAGTTAGTCATTTTTTGCTAGCTGTGAATGCTATTGTGAGCTCTTAGGGACTTCACTTTTTTAATAATCAGTTTGACCGAGTTGTCCCTAATAAACCTCGGCGTGCCAGTGCCAAGCCATAGCTTTGATCCTCTCAAGAGGCGTGTCACCGTTACTGCCCTCCATCACGGCAATGCCCACCAAGCGTCTGCATCGCCCATGCCCCATAGTGATCCCAATGCCAAAAAACCTGGATGCCTAAAGTTGGAGCCTGAGATCCAACCTTTGTGTGTTCATCGCTCTTGGTCAACTCTCAAGCCTACTCGCTATGCCGACTGCGCCCAACTTTAGTCGGGATGATGTCAATATCCCCTATATTAATCAATGAGTAGTTCTGGTGGTACACATTTTCATTCACTATAAAATGTTATCTTTCTGTTGATTTTTATTTGATAGGTTTTGCTTTAATTTCGTTCAGTCAGAGTTGGTGTTTGCCTCAGTCGCTCTTTATTTGTTAATCCTGCCTTGGTTTTGAAACGCACACATTTCGTACTCGGACACAGTATTATTGCCAAATATTCTGACTCCGTATATGCTGACTCCAGAATCGTTTTTACGTACAGTAAGTTAGGCAGTAATGTTTTGAAAAGGAAGTTCGATAGGTGTGAGTAAAATATCGTCATTGTGGTGCGTAACTGAGATTTGGGACAGTGAGAACGCACATTCCGAAAGTGTGTTTACACGGCTTTTGCCGTTTAAGAGCAGCACACGTGTCGGACTTCTGCTGTTAGAAACTCGACCGTCGAGATCTCTTACTATTTTGTGATATTCTCGTCTCTTCGCAACGAATTTCGATTCTTCCACGTCCTTCGTGTATGGGGCCGCGATTCTGGTTCCTTGGTAGTCCTTGCAGCCGTCACCTGATTTCTCCCGGGGAAATCCGGGGGTACGGAATCGTGATTACCCGAAACTTTCATATGACTGAAAACCATACCACAAACCCCCCCCCAGCGGGATGGAGGGAGGTTAGAATGAGGAGGCTTGCCCGCGTTACAGTCACTGTAATCTCTCAAATCCGGCAGGGTTTTTTTTGCAGACGTAGTGGCATCCAGCCTCAGATTCCCAGGGCAGTCAGGAGACCTGCCCAGGGCATGCAGAAAGCCTGCTGCAGCGGTTCGTTGACTCACTCCCGTTAAGCTCTCCATCCACGCTCACAGCTTCTTTCTCGAATTCCAGCTCATTTCAGTGATTTCCCGCACGTTGGGGCTTGTGGGATCAGAGCAGCTTGAATTGTTCAACATGGGAGAACTGTAGTCCAAAATGTACATTTTAAAATGAGGAACAGTGTATGTCGTGGCTCGTGTGTCTACCCAGAAAAACAGCTCCATCACTTGTTAGTTACAGGCAATTTGCTGTTATGCTGCTTTGAATTGAAAAACAACAGGAAAGCTGTGTGTTCTATGTTTAAAAAGATACAATTACATGAAGGTAAAAAGTAAAAAAGCACTGATTAGGACCTATTGCGTGCACAGAAAAATCGTAATCTTAATTTTTCCGTAAGCACCGCCATAACCTTTCGAGAATGATTGTTTAAACGAAAGAGGCCATTTTGAAAACCACAAGTGGCCAATTCATTCTCGTCGAAGTCGGACCTGCACTTAAGTCTTCGTTAGGCGATCTTACCCCCTCAGTCCATGTCTTCGAAGTTACCGTCTTTATTTGCCGACAGCATTTCCGCGTTGGATTATGCGTGGGCGTTCGCCAGCGGAGTTCATGATAAAGGAACATTGTGCTATGTAAAATTGATGACCCCTGTCCTGCGTGGGATCTTGTCTGCAATGTTGGATCCACCTTATTGCACGTTCCTTGTACGTTGGCCCCCGGCCCACACGACGTTATAAAAGGCCGCAATCAGCACGCAAAGTCGTATTCCTGCAATAGTTGCTACCGATTTCTATTCTTTTTATTAATACAGCGAGTTTGTTCGATTGAACAAGCGCCCCAGTTTATTTGATTTGCTCTCAAACTTGTGGTGTTTGAATGAATATGTACGGCGCTTACACCGTCCCATTTGTATGTTTTCCCCCATTTGCATATTACCACCGTCACGATAAACTGCCTGTGCTGTCCACAACAACTTGTGGATAATTCAGGCGGTTTGTACTGTGACCATCTGCAAATCTGTGCCCAAGTTGTACCGTGATTTGGTAGCAGTCACCATATGCGTATTTAACACCTTGCAGTTGATTGGCCATGATGTTTTAATCATCTCCAATTGATGTCTAACCCAACAGGAGGCGGCAGCACGGGTATTCCACTGGAAACCATCGCCATCCCAGTGTCGCTGACCACACTCATCCTCGTCATCGCCTTCGTCGCGGTGGTCTGCGCGCGCAGGTTCAAGAACCGAGTTGCGCAGACAGAGACCTACACCATCCAGCGGAAAGTGTGCTACGAGGCCGACTCGGACTCGGAGAACGAGAGCGGGATGAGCTACGGTAAGGACGGTGCAGGGAGTCCCGGGGCGCCGAGTAGCCCCAACGCCTCCCCGCTCAAAGTGCTGCCCCGCCAGGCCACGGTGCCGTTGCTGCCGCAGAGAGTCCGCCAGGAAGCCTTCAAGCGACAGCGACAGCTCTCTCTGCAGCTTAACCTCGCCAACATTGAGTTTTCCGTCAAGAACGTCCACCGGAAGGAGCAGCCCAAGCTCGGCACGCTGCGGCCCGAGTTGTACCGCGACAGCTCCCAGGATCGAGGGGGCAAGGACTCGGACAAGTGCGGTAAACTGTACTTCTCGCTGCAGTACGACCATCCGACGGAGTCGCTTCACGTCCACGTCGACCGGGCTACCGGTTTGCCTGCGAAAGACTTTTCTGGAACTTCCGATCCTTATGTAAAAATCCACCTCTATCCTGCGGATCGAAAGAAGAAGTACCAGACCAAGGTGCATCGGAAGAACTGCGACCCTTACTTTGACGAGAAGTTCACCTTTACAGTGCCGTTCAACGATCTACCGGAAAAGACGTTGAAATTTACCGTGTACGATTTCGATCGGTTCTCCCGGCACGATCTGATCGGGGAAGTGACAATTACGAACTTGTTGGGTCATGACCGCGACCTCGTCAAGGGCGAACGCTTTGAGGAAGACGTCATCAAATGCTCGGCACAGGTGAGTGATGGTCATGGACTGGAGACCAGAATTCATACAAAGTAACGGTACTCTTTTATAGGACCTATTGATGCTCTTGAGGGCAGCAAGCATACTGATCCCTATTTGAAGTTGCTAGCGAAGAACGGCAAGTTCATTTACCGATGTTAAGGGTTAATAGCCAATTTAACCAGCTGAAATCCTCCAACGGGAACAGAGCCAATCAAATCATTCATTTTTACCAAAAAGTTTTAAAGACGGTTGGGTTTCAAGTTCAACCGAACTGTAAAACTGAGGCACAGTCGGCATAATTGTTGGCTAACAAGTATATTTATGTCGTTCTGATACGGGTATGCCCGCATGCAGTTTAGCGTGACCCGTTGTCGCATAACACCTAATCATGTGCATTATTAAAAACACTGCACAGCTGTGAATAACCAAATTATTCACTGGACTAACTAAGTGCTATCAACTTAATAAAAACCTGTCGTGCCACATCCACCTGTTCACAGGATATTGTGCATTTTACAGATCCTTTTAATCAAGGGTAATTAGCTAGCGACATGTTCACTGCCCATCTTTTATCCGTAAACAGGCCTTCCATTTTGCTCTCATGCAAACGGCCCAGTTGTCCATCATCTACTCCTTGAAGTCCCTCACTAATCACCAAGGACTGATGCGCTAAGTTTTAACCCCACGTCTCCAAGATACACGCAGGAGAGGGTTGAAGACAACCATTGACTTGTACGTGGAGGGGGGGGGAGGAAATTTAATCAGTAGCCCACGGCCCGCCCGGGACCTCCCGCTGTCCCGCCCGGTACTCACCGTGCGCTCACCCAGCGCTCACAGCGACTAAGCTTACAAGCGAGACGGGCCGCTATCAAGCCTTATAATGGGCCTCGCTGACCTGTTCTGCATATTTACCGCAGAAGTGCCTTGCTTTTTTGTCATTCTTAGTCATTTTGTCATTCTTCATAGAAAGGCTCGTGCTCAGAATACGCGCCGTGTTTGCCTAATGCCAAAGATATTAAATCCGACGGAGGTTCGAGTTGTAGTATACGTAATTATGTTTGATCCGCACGCAGAGTACCTCTCGAGTTGATGTTTGATGAAGGAATTATTTAGGTCGAATGGAGGGCATGCCGCGTGCCGCTCAAACACACCCACGTGGGCCCTGGTTCTGCCAGACGGACAAACTGTAGCGATGTTGACTCATCCTCCACACGAACTACTCCCTCTGATTTGACTTGATTTGCTCTGCGAAGATTCCACACAAGCCCCCATGTTTAACAAGGACGACCTTTAAGTCTTCGGCATATTTGATGTGAAGCAGGCGTTTCGTACGTTTTATAGGAGGCCGCGAAATAAAACACTGATACATCAGAAGGAAATGGGGAATGAAAGTAGCATAAGATTGTAGTCGCAAACAGATCGAGAACAAGTTTCTCTATCACTTTCGCTTTTACATGAAATTATGTTGAAAAGACCTTGGTACAAAAGTGGCACTCGATGGGTAATTTCACGAAGATAGTCCAACGTTTCCGTAAATTGAAATGAACCCTGTACACTACGTCTTGCAGCGGTTAATTGAGAAATGAACCGTGAATAAAAACGGCTACGCTACACTAATATCTACAGAATTCTTCGGGGGAAAAAAAAAGGTCAATCATCATGAGAAGTACGTGACTGCGTGGCGGCGCAGGTATCTGGTTCGTAAGTGACTTCGTCACAAAGGCGGACGCGCCACGATTTGCAGGCTCTCATTGGACAATCGCTGAAGTTGCGCGTTAACTTCCGGTTCCATGGTTCCAAAACGGCGATCAATGCATGTAACCCTATGTGCAGTGCACACTTATGAACCGGATAGCAATGGCCCCCACACCAAACCAAACTTCATCGACACCATGCAGAATCAAAGACAGATGAAGCAGATTTCTAGGAACATATTCAACTCAGATCCAATCAAACAGAGTATACACAATAATACAGCATTAATGGGACGGAGCGACCCGGCGCAGCGTCACGTTGAGGGACACAGACGCCGAGGGCGTGGAGCACAGCCCATTTATAGCATTCAAAATAATAATAAAAAAAACTATTCGAAACAGTTCAACGGATGAAGAGATTAAAAGCGTTGGGCCATTCCGTGACACGGAAAAACTATGTCCACTGGGCCATGTCATAACAGAACTATGAGTGTTTGTCGTCCCAAGAGTAAACCCAATTTCAGTCATGCAAGCGGAATAATTTCTCTCTTGCTGAATGGATCCTTTGGGCGTCTTCACCACAGATAGCGCAATGTGTATACACTGAGGTAGTGACGACGGCAAAATGTTGCGGTCGAAGAGGATGTAGAAGGACGAACGAACATCTCGCCGCAGGGATCGTAGAAAAGATGTGAAGCACATCGCTTGTGTAAACGAGTACGAGGGTCTGTTGACGTGCCGTGCATTGACATTCTTTGATATAAGTCTGTCTAATAGTTAGGATGAGGTACTTGCGGTGTGTACACATTCAAGATTTACGAGAGACCTCTTGCTTTACCAAAGTCCACCGGCAACGAAATTAATGCGTGCGGATAGGAGCCGCTTTGTTTTTCTATCTGAGCCGTCATGTTCAGCAAGCTTGTGTCAACTTTCATTTTTTCGTTGTTTCTTTTTTTCTCCTGTAGGAGAAAGCAGACCTTGGAGACGTGATGTTCTCGCTTTGTTACCTACCGACCGCCTGTCGGCTAACACTTAACGTTATCAAGGCGCGGAACCTGAAGGCAATGGACATCACCGGAGCGTCAGGTAAAGTCTGTCCAGAGTACCGAGGATCCGGCAAATAACACATGCCGCTACCTCCACCGCGAACCCCCTTTCCATACTCTTCGCTGTCCCTCAGTGTGGCGGATATCGTCTCCGTGGGAGACGCCCCTTCTCCCCTGAGTTAAGACCAGGTATTGTACCTGAACCACCATTTCCTCTGTGTAGACACTGCAACATCACAGTCTGTGCAGTGCGCATTCGTTTCGTTTTGCAGTCTTTTCATCAGTTTTAGAAATATACTTAATTGCCAAACACCCACCTGCTTTTTTCCCCCGCTTTTCTCTTGATGGCAACACAGAGGGCGTACAACAATAGCCTGCACCAGAGCCTGCGCGTGCTCTGTCAAGCAGTGTGGAGATTTTATCTAAGCTTAACCTTTTCCTGTTAAAAATGCCGTGGGCTTTTCTTCCGGTTATGGATTCCTGACCTTGTGCAACCGTCTTCAGCAAAAAAAGATGGGATCCTCCAACCTTTCTGTGCTGCTCGGGGTATCGTAACGAAGAGTGGGAGACGACAATGAAAGTTAACATGACGGTTAAAGAGAAAATTGCTATTGTTCATTTCAGATTGTTGTCGCTCTTTGTGTTGGGAAAATTGTGGAGACTTCAGTTGAAAATTCATCAACCGAAAAAGCGCAGGAAGAGTTATAAGAAAGGCACCTGATTCAATTTAATGAAATTCCGAAAAGTCAAAAAGCAGAGAAGAGATTAAGCATGGGTAAATGGTTGATGAAAAAAAAACCTCTACCGTCCGGGGCCGTAGTGATGAAAGCTTTCTACGCTCACTGAAATTAAATAGTCATAACACCAACGGGAAACGTGAGTGGACGGGTGAATTCGAGCGAAGTCACTTATGTAAACCAAGGCTTGTTATTCTTTTGTGAATGTCTGAATTTCCTGCGAAAGAATCGATACTGGAGAAAATCGCATCAGGAACACGTTATATGCTGACAGGCGTGCAGAGAAGACAGCAACACTCACTGCACATATATTTTCGCTGTGTTTTGTTTTTCTTGAATTGTCCCTATAACACCCGATGATTTCAGATTTTTTTCCCCTGCAGCTTACGCTCGGCTGATTGAATACAGACCAAAAATGGACGAAAAAAAATATATATTGCACTTCAGTTATAGAGATGGTTTGTTATTTGTGGAGAAAAGGGACCACCAAGGTTTCAACTTAAGAACTCTTGCTGCGGTTCTAAAATATTTTAAACTTCTTTTCGATATTTGCGATTAGAACAGAGCGACTTACATTAGGCTATAAGTGACTGGGTGATGATTTCCCGTACCCTCGCGGTTGCCTTTTGAGTGTAGAGATTCTTCGAAGAACACTTCTTGCTATTTTTTGAAAGCTTCCCATCTGAGCTGTTTTGCCAAAAACATATTCCAGACAAACTAAACGCCGCTGTTCAAAACAAGCTCTGTTGGTTCTGAAAGCCGATATTTATTGGCATGTATGTTCGTGACGAGTGTTGGATAAGATAGTATCAGTTATCAAGAAGGTGGATTCGTCGGTGTTCAAGTCCAGGACGCGTAATGTCGCTAACGGTATGCTGCAGTACCAGATTACCCCATCCCAGAGGATGAAAGAATTTACGCCTCTCGGATATCAAGTGTGTGAAAAGGAATTGGCAAAGAACGGCTAGCGCCGGAGACGGCGACAAGAAAGAAAACACACCGCGAAAGTAAAGAAAACACCAACTTGTGTCATCGTGAGTGTGGGTGTCCCAATTTGAAGGAGTGGTGAACATGTTGACCGATCGAGGAAGAGTCGCCCACTTGAGCTCCGAAATGTCAGGCATGCACGCAATATTGCTCGCGTCTAGGCGAAATGAAATCATAACAATTCGGCCGTCAAAGATGTGGAAAGTTGGCGGCTGGCTGACATGGGGACGCGCCGGCCACTGTCGTATATAGTCACACCTTTGCGGTATGTCGTTCTTGCTCCCATGTACCAATGCCCTCTCGAGCGGATGGATGAACGACCCGTTCCCCGAAGGGCGTCAAACCGAGCGCCAGGGCTGCCGCTAACGACTATGCAAACCGTGCATTTGCCTCTGATAAGTGCTTCATGTTTATCGCCACGGGGAGTGGGACTAAACCAAATATCAATTTGACGGAGTGGGGTAATTTTTTTTGTGGTGGGCATATTATTTAACCGTTATTAAACCGACCAGTGAACCTTCTTTGCAAACAATAATTGCGGTGCGCGCGTGTATGCATTCACCGTGCATCCCCATTGAAATTGCTTCATATTTTGGGGATACCTTCTGTAGAAATGCGCGACCCGCTGTCAAGCAGGTGATCGTCACTGACGCCATTATTTTGTCTGAAGCATTTAAAAGATAAAAAAATAAGTTTCAGTGGACTCTTTTCAGATCCGTACGTGAAGGTGTCAATGGTGTGCCACGGCAAACGGGTCAAAAAGAAGAAGACGACGGTGAAGAAGAACACGCTCAACCCGGTCTACAACGAGGCCATGGTCTTCGATGTCATGCCAGAAAGCATGGACAGCATCCTCTTTGTGGTTGCCGTCGTGGATTACGATTGGTAGGTCTATTCCCCAGTCGATAAGAAAATAGGCGGGGAAAATTTGCCAAACTTAAGGCCAAATATTAAAGTTAACTCTCTCGGGAAAAAATAAACATTTTCATGATCATAAAATACCACTTGTAATTTTGACATGAAATTTCAACGGACCACGTTCGTTATGTGTTTTTTCCAAAGCAGGCTGGCAAAGTATAACGGCATTAGTTTTGAAATATCGAATGAAAAGAGCTATCAAAAGACAAAACTTCAAAAGGATAACAGGTGGTATATACCAAACGTGAATAATATTGAGTCTGATACGCTGAGTTTTGAGAGAAGTGGATTTGATATCCAGAATTTCGATCTCTCTACCGAAAGATTTCGGCAACAGTCAGAGCCCTCGGCGACGGCTATTTGGAAATTTTGGCAAACATTTACGAAAAAACCATTAAAGGCACGAGTTGTATACCAGGGCTTTCAAAATAAAGTCAAATTTTCTAAACTAGTTCGCAAACAACAGCTACAGCATAAATACAACGTACAGAGATCTCTGAATGATCATCTATTCGATATTCTGTTCTTCAACTTCAATTTGACCAATCATGTGTGATTTCTTAATTAATGCAACGTTATGCAACAACCGGCGTGCTACCAGAAGATGTTTGGGGAAGAGCAGAATAGTGGGTAGGGGTTCGGTAGCTACGGAAGGGGCGGAGTGAAATTGGTCTAAGGGGCTGAAGCTTGTACAGAAAATGGCTCAGTGAATTCGGCGTCTGTGCAAACCGTGATATTAATGTCTTGTTCCTTAATTTTTTCATGCACAAAACACACACAATGATCGATATCAAATCAGTACCACAATGTAGAACGGCTGTACTGCGCAAAAAGCTCATAATCAGATCTACGACTGTGTAAGCGCGTATCACTGCATTTACTAAACTGTTTCAGGTTTTAATTAATTACGTTCTTGACGAACGCGACGGAAATGTACAATCGGAAATTAAGAGCGAACAACCAACAGCTCGCTAGTAGTGAGGGAATTAACGGAAATTTGCAAGCCCTCGATTTTTCGTAACAGCTTCCATAAAACCCAGCCTTTTCCTTCGTTAACCCGATTTTACTCGTAAAAAAAGTACTGAAAATCTGACTGGCAGAAGTTGGACGATACCCCTAAGGTTTTTAGACGATCCTTCTGGCAGTGGACCATCTAGTAATGGAAAGGAAATTATTTCCGTCGTGAGTTATCTCTCGTTATGTCCAGCCCCAAACATCGTATGTCCTCTGTATAAGGAGGAACTACGGAAAGGGATTTCCCTCAGGCCGTCAATGGGAAATGGAGCAGATATAAAATCTTCCCGATTGCTTCTGGACGAGATTAACATGTCTCATAAATTGATGCAGTGCCTGGGAAGAATATTTATGGACGGAGTGGATTCATATCCGGCTGTAACCAATCCGCGCAATGGTCCAAAGCAACATAGTTCGCAGGACATTTTCTAGATTTTGTGCTATGCCACTTTTCCCCCATGTGCGTGGGGTCGGGTCGGGTCGAGCAGGCTTATACCAAAGCTCAGTAATTAAACCTCACGTCTGGCTTTGTTCCTTTCAATGATTAGGGTGGGCCACAGCGAGCTCATAGGCGTGTGCGAGGTCGGTCCTCAGTGCTTCGGGCAGGGCAAGGACCACTGGGAGGAGATGCTGGCGGCGCCCCGCAAGCAGATCGCCCACTGGTACCAGCTCCAAGAGTCCTCGCCTTCCCTCAGCACCGCGTCGGTGACGTCCTCCATGAAAGGGTGCATGACACCCCAGCAGTCCGTCGAGTGAGGAAGGAAGCTAGAGTCCAGTCGGGGGGTGGGGAGTTCCCTAACCCCCTGTGTGCCGTTACAAGGTCCATCCATGTAAGGCGGGCACCATGTGAGGAAACGGCATCGGTGTCGACTTTAGGTAGTGCTTCTCTCCAGTGGGATGGCATTGGCTTTTAGTACTGGAGGAAAACAAGTTGAGTAGTTTCGTGCTTTCACGAATGAGAATGCCCAGTGCTCTTCCAGAAGTCCGAACGCGTCAGCTGTATAGGATTGATGATCGGAGTACGGTCCATAGGGACATCACGATGCGAGTTTTATAACGCACTGCACCTTTACAGTGGTTTTTTGCACTTGTCAGATTGGTGTCTACTTCATTAACGTCGTGTGTTCATTTCTTGCCTTTTATAAGCGCACGTGAGAAATGTGCGAGCGCTTCAGTTTCACATTATAACAGTGCCGTTGGGCTGTATATAACGTTACCATAGAAATATAAAACCAGGAATAATTTTTGTGTCGCCAAAGTGTCGAGTGTAACTAGAGCCAAGCCACAGCCGTGTCTTATAAGTTGATTTTTTTTATCGGCAAAGTTGCCTTGTGTCCTATGCTTCAAATCACTTATTCTAACACGAAATTGCCACTGTGCAAGGTTCCCCAGCAAGATCTTCTCAGAGTTCTCCGACTGAAGATGGACAAGAGGATAAGACTGAGGGTCCAATCAATTAAAAGTAGTTATCTGATAATGTACCTCTACCATTGACCAAATCTCGGCTGTGAAAATAAATTCAACCCAGGGAACTTGTAAGATATCCCTGTGTGTTTTTTTCAAGTCTTGTTTTATCCTTAAGTCAAAGTAGAGTTTGGCGCACAGCCAAATTTGGAGTAGGCCCTAATTGTATTTTTGCACAAGGTTCGGATGGCTGTGTACACATTGTGATGGTGCTATGTCAATTGTGAATAGTGGTTACTATGACAATTCTAAATCAACCAGGTCACAGCGGGGAAAAACTTTTAAATGGAAATGCCTTGGTTTGTGTAAAATAAGCTGGTGAACAGAGATTGAGCACTTCATTTTCTCTGTTACAGTCGAGCAATTCACGAGTGAGTGACCGGTCAAAGACTTATGTATTAAGCATCCAGACTCTAATCTGCATAACCTTTTTTATCTAGAAGCCTTTATGCATAATTAATTCCATCCGCCGTGAAATGCATTAATAATCAGTGAACCGGGTGGTTAGTATAAGAGACTTCCCAACTTCAGGACTAAGAAAAAATAATTCATTCGAGGAAGCTTGCAAAATCTAAGAAGCTTTTTCTTCTGCTCATTCCAAAGAAATTATTTATGTTTCGGTTACATCTCGGGTAACTGTGGAACCAACGTGAGCAACTCATTGCATTTTCTACATACTGCATACCAGAATTGCCACAGAAGATGTAGCCTACCATAATTATGCAAGCTAATTAGTTCTTGAAATCCAAAATTGAAATTTTTAGATGAAACACTCAGAGACCAGATAAATTTAGTGTTGTTATTTTGTAATTCTTACACCAGTAAGATACGCATGTGTACATCTGTACACAGAAATCGTGTAATTGGTACAAACGGTGAAAATATTTATATTCAACACAAGGATTGTAATTGTTTCGTCTGATATTCCAACAGGTTTGAGAAATATTGCTGGAGGTGATATTAACGAGTGACTTGGGTAAAATGTAGGAATGTGATTCCGGCACGCAACTCGCCAGTAATTGACCTCAAACTTCAACAACATTATTGTATGCGAAACCCTTAATGAAAAGGAGAGTTTTAATCACAGTTCGTAAGCAGGTCAGGAATGTTAGGGTTTCTCCTCATATTGTAAAAAGACTCATTTCTCTTGGAACCACGACGTGTTTTCGTGACTTTCCGATAAACCAGGTCATGGACTAAATATTCACGTGGACGAAGTCATTGTAGGCTGAAACATTAGAGAAGGAATAAGTCAGTTACCGCTAATTCACGTCATTTACCGAAATAATGATGGCCGAGAGATGTAAGCCATCAGCGTAATGGGATCGCAGATGTTCCCGAGTGCCGTAAATGGTTTTTCGTTCCGCTAATGTAGGCAGAAAGCCTTTGATACCATCAGCCTTTCCAAGGTTGATGACGTTATCTTCGCGATTTTGTTTTTAAACACCAACAATCAATTTTTATTTATCTTCGTTTGCACCACACCAGCGATATATACAAACTCAGTCGAGATCTGGGATAGATCGTGGGTAACTATTTTCATCATCCCTGAAAACCCTAACGCAAATGTAAATAGTAATATTGAAAGGCCGTTTCTGCGTTGTTTCTTAAAAGAATAACCCACCTTTAAAGTTATAGTCTCCTTCGAGACCAGGTTGAATGTAAAAAGTCAAACGCTAAATATTATATCAAAAAATGTAAATAACACCTTATCTGTCCATAGACGTTGTACTGTATAAATTGTATAAGCTACTGCATTAAAGTAGCCCGATTTTTTTAATTTACCATAAAAGAAATGATATAATCTGTAATTAATGTGCATTGAATAATACACGTTTATACCACGATATTTGTACAATGTAATCAAGCCATTGTGTTAATTTCACAAGATTGACTGTTGTCATTGAATGTGTAATATTAAAGCAGAAGTCATTTTACCCGTTGCTTTTAAGGATTGTGTTCCCATGAAATAATCAGCATGAGGCTTAGAAAAAGGTAAAGTCGAGGCATTTTATGCGCCGCCTTGGCTTGAAACCGTGTTAAGACAGTAAACACCACTGGCTGCATGCACTGAATTGCTTAAAAAATCTGAGCCAATACGTAACACTTTGATACAGGTTATCCATTCGCAAACTAGGTTTTTTTGTAGTGTAATTTCTATCTTGCCGTTGACATTAATTTTGTGACAGTTACGCACACGAAGTTGAGCCATACTGCCGAGTGTGCAACAAGCAAATAATTTTATAGTTAAATTTCATCATAGAATGTTTCTTTGCACCCAGTTGCACTCTATGACGATATCTAGGCGACAGGAACATTTCCTCGTTTGGTTTGCAGTAAAGAAAACCCGGGAATGAAAAGTAAAAGCGGGTAAAAAAACAGAAACTCTGAAGTTCATTTTTTTCCCAGTTTTTAAAACAAGTGGTATTAGTATTTTTTTTTTTAAAAAAACGAAGGTTGCCGTTGGTGTATATTGGCTTTAATGGTATTGCTTAATATTTGGCGTGTGTGAAATAGAGGAGGACAGTTTAAATGTTTTCAAACATAAGATAAGGGATCCATATCAACAATAAAGCTGTGCATGAATTATTGAATGATTATATTAAATACTATAAGTTGAATAAGACCACTGATGTAATATTTTCTATCAAAAACACTCGATGTGAAAACAAGAATGTGACAATAAATTGCTAATATAATGTATATTTGTTTCCCTTAGCATGATGAAACGTAATTCAAAATGGTATTTCGTTCTCGAAGGTATCTGTTCCTCACTCACTTTTTACGAGCTGTTACTGATTCCTGATCCTCATCAGTGTCTTAAAAAACTGGTAGACTCCTTCAAACCTCAACCTTCTATGGCCCATTAGTAATCTAATTAAGGCAAACCTTCAAATAGAAGAAATTTGTCCTCTGAGAGATGTGGATGGTGTTTGTTCAAGTAGAAGACATTTATGTGAATTTTTCAATATTGATTGTGGCAGTTTGGAAGGGCATGTTTATCAACGTGAGATCATAGGAGATTCCTCTACGTACATTTAATTCATTTGTCTCTTGATTTGAAAAAGATTTGTTTTGTTCGGAGAATCCCAAAACAAGTAGTTTCTCGTTTTCTCGTTTTTGTTTATTTAAAAGAAAAACGACTCTTTTTTGTTTTTATTAAAGGTACTTTTTAGCCATATTAATCGTGGATAACAGCAATTTTGAATTTGAGTCAGGCAGCCCTAGAATGATGTACACACACAAAAATAGGCCAACGTTTATTTTGGTAATATTTTTCACAAGCCCCAAATTATTTTTGCCGTCTGGGTGGTTAATTACCAGCTGCAGAGGGCGCTATCACTTGAGCCGCCGTCCTGTTCGCGAATAGGAATTATCGTCAGTGGCATGGCGGCAAGTTCGGAAGGAGGAATTGGCGCTGATGCATTTTCGGGTGTTTTCTTGGCAGTTCGACCTCTCTTGGAAGCAATAGCAGGTAAGGCACAAAGATTAACTATAGCTAAGGAAGTGTAGTAGGTCCAGGAAATGTTCAAGTTTCATTATTTGACCCATTTCTAAGTATGTTTTGCCATTTATGTCACGTATACCGGTACTCGTGCCGTCATGGACACGTACATTACATGATGTAGGCTTACATGGACGTGTAGGCCCAAGTAGGCTCTAGCCTAGCCCAGGTTGGACGTGTACATTACATTGCGACTAACGTCCAGTGAATGAAGGTGCTTAAACTATGCGAAATTTTTTTCAACACTTTTTTCTCACATTTTTACCTGACGAAGACAGCTCAAAATGTCGTTCACAAGTGCAAGGTCTATCCTGAATTCCATAAATGCTGTGTTGAAATTATTAAATAGGCCTACGCCCGCGAACAATGTATTTTGGAGGAAATTCAGCGAAACTCCACGCTTTCCATTGCGATTCACGATCTACATGCATGTGCCTGACATAATGTATATGTACATTACAGTACCCATTCGTCTAGCACAGGTACTCGCACATGCGCGAAATGCTTGGTAACGGAGTGCCCCTTACGCATGCGCGGAGGAGCCGTGGGTGTGATGAAGTCGCAGATGAGGCCGTGTCCAAACGGGCTTGCGAAGATACGGCTGGGTCTATTGTCTACTCGTTTCCACGTACATGTATTTGTAATGGAGCGAAGACCTAGCTCTAGACAACATACACATGTACATGAACATAACTAACAGAATGTGGGATGAGCTTGGAAGCCATTTCGCGCACGCGTGCAAATGCATACTAATGCACGAACATAGGTTGTTAATTAACGAATCGTGATGCATTGCGTGGAGTTTTTGCAGAATTTCCTCCAAAATACGTTGTTCGGCGTATTTAGTAATTTCAACACTGCATTTATGGAATTCAGGATACAAGGCACAGGCCTCGATATTTACCGCGGCCACCACGGCAATTGGCCGCGTGGCCTTCCAAGTTGGCCGTAATGCCCTTCCAGAAAACTCACATCGCGCAGCCACCTTGGCTGTATGTGTGGACAGTTGAAGCTGTAGTTCTGGAAATGAAGTTTTTTGCCATTCAAAAAATTAAATTTACAGTATTTGCCCACAGGGTTTGCTTGTGTTGTTGCAAGACCAAAATTGGCACAGAAGACGATGATAGAGTTTCAGCCTGGCACAACATACATGTACATGTAGAGCTGCGTATCTGTGTTGCCAAAAGAACACCCAAGAGTTGCACAAGTGGACACGATGTTTGAGTCCTGGGTTTAACCACGGTTGTTGGTGATGCAGCCATGACGTTGCTGCGTTACACCATTACACAAACTTGACAACTTGCGTACCAGATAAAAACATCAAAGTGACAACCAACAGACAATAAAAATTAATAAAATATCCACCAAACAGGTACAAGTAGATACAAAAGAAGACACTTGAGACTTGATACAAACAGGATGCGTTAAAAAAATGCATTATTGCCCTACTGTACATCATGACAGGCTTTTGGTGTTTAGATTTCTGTTTGTTTTCTGTTCAAGAGTGCAGCAGACTGCATGATTTCCAACGCATGAAATTATGTACATGTACCATGGAGTAATTGGTTTGTCCTGAAAGAATAGTGCAAAATACAATTATGACCTCAAAATATCTGAACATACTGAGTTACAGTACATGTACATTATCATGCACCTGTTGCGCTTCTATAATGGAAGTACGTGTATCATTGTTATAAATCAAAGCCTTTGAAAGCATGTTACAGCCACCATGTACGGTAACCATGACCACTCTGTAATTTGTCCCCATTTTTGTGACTGTATCATTTTGTTAACTTTTCTCCACAGATGACTGATCACAACAAGTCAATGTTGAAACTGTTCTTCATCACTCAGACCGTGCCTGACATCAAGAGGATCTCAAAACTTAAATGTACCTGTAGACC